TCAATACCATTCCTCTACACGGATCACAGACACGTTGAGAGGGAAATTAGAGAAACAATAACTTTTGCAATAACACTGCGAAAAAAGATTTCTAAATTTCTGTGTAAAAATATGTAATTGTTTATTCATATTCTTTAAATATTTTTCATTTTTTAAATTTTTATCTCCATATTCTATAGGGACTTAATGTTTACCATATCAATACTTGCTGGAAAATACATGTTCCATGTTATGCCTAAGATGTTTGATATTCAGACAGACAGTGAAGTTAAACCCAACTGCGTATGTTGCAGGGTAATAATAAGCTTCTCTTCTGGAGGGTTAACAACCTAAGTTTGCAGACCAAAAATTATAGAAATATAAGGGCTGCAAGGACAGCCAATATTTTGAGCCTAGCCTTTCAAGATCAGTGAAGACTCAGGACATAGGAGAACCTATACTGTAACATCATGTAACTCAGTAGTGTACCAAATTTTCTGATCAAGGAGATTATGGGGCCACAGAGGAATGTGATCAATGACGGAGAGTGTGCCTAAGGACAGACACCTAGAGAGAAAACTTTCTCTCAGGCTTCCACAGACAGCAAATTGGTCAAGCAATGGCTTTGACTCATCCACGTGGCTGACACTGACAAAGGATCTACAAAGTGCAGTACAGGGTTACAGGATAAATCCTTAAGGTACTTGACTGACCCTATCAGATACAAAAGTTACATTTCTTGTTATATAGGTCTTCCTTTATCTTGGTCTTAACCATCCAGCAGAAAAGTATAAAAATGAGGTATATAAAGTAAAGCCATATCAATATGCTGAGCTCTGAAAGGCTCAAGTCAACAACTTCTGTGGATAACCCACTACTACTGTGGACTGCTGGACTGTGTTGGATTGTTTTGCTGAATTCACACACCTATAGTATTTAGATGCCAATGGAATACCCATCTCTGACAGGACTAAACAATATAAGGGGATACAAAGGAAGGACCATTTTGTATCTGGATATGCGGAATAGTTAGGATAGATATACAGCTACTTGCACTTAATTCAATGAGAAGAAAGATTTGTACTAATAGTGTTTGGACAGGATATCCTGTCTACATCTTGTACTATGGATAACCACTAAGAAAATAACAATGTACAATGTATTAATTATTGAAACTGTCCTATTAATCAGTTTTGGAACTGTCTCCTTTGTTTCTCAATAAAAGAAAAAAAAAAAAAGAAGAAAGTCTCACCCGGGTCTGATAGAAAAAGAACATGGAGCCACAGCCAGAAGAGCATCAGAAAGGCAGTAGCAGGCCACATGGGCCTTGCAGAGACCAACCTCTCCCTGCCTCGATGCTCAAAGAAACCTCTTACACTCTGCCAGCAAGACTTCTCCTCAAAGGATCCAACATCTCCAAATCCTACAACTGTCTCCACTCTTCATCTCCCCACAGTCTTTCCTCTGGATGTC